CGCCCTTGCTCTCGTGGGGACGCCGCTGCCACGTACGCCCCGGACGCCCCTGAAGGAGCGTCCCGCGCCGGCTTTCTTACCGCTCAAGGAGACCTTCAGAGTGTAGACAAGTGGCTGCCTGGGACGGGGTGGGAGGAAGTGTCTGTAAACAGGGGTGGCTGCCCCCCGTTCAGAAACGCCTGCCTTGCCTTTATTTACTCCCGCCTTCATTTTGGAGGGACGTTTGCTGCAGGTACCAGGACCTCTAAGTGTTCTGAAGTGGGCCGGGGCCAAAGGTCACACTGGGCAGGCAGCCACCAGCGGTTTCCCCTGGAGCCTTAGTGAAGAAAGTTCTGGAACGAAGGTTTTGACCGCAGACGGTTCTGAGACCCGGGCACGTCGTCTCCTCTCTTGGAGCCCCTGGCCCGCCGCAGCTCGCTCCTCCCAGGACATCCCTGACACCTCTGCGGCCCCTCCAGTTCGCCCTCCTTGGGGCGTCGCCCCCGCTTTCCAGCCTGTTCCCTGCAGCGCACGTCCCATGGTGCTGGAAGTCGAACATCTCACTGCGTTCCTGGATTTGTCCACAGATAACGTGCATCCTTGCCGCCCGCGTGGCGCCCAGTTCCGGGCCCATACGGTCCAGCAGCTCTGTTCCCACGCGAGGCCGTGGAGATGCCTTGCAGAGTCTGCTGCCCAAAAGCAGGCTTCCCTGTGGGAGCCAGCGGGCGGCCCTGCACCCAGGTCCCTGCCACTGTGGGGCCCCGAGGGCGTGGACCACTTTTGTCTCATCATGATCGCCATGGTGTGCCCCACGCAGGCCCGACACGCCGCAGGGGCTCAGCGTTACCTTTTCGGAGCCATTCGGGTGTGGCTTCCACCTTCATCAGCTAGGAAGGCCCGTCTCCATCCCTCCCCGTTCCAATCCCAGATCTCCCTGGCCCTGAGTTTTGTTTTGTTTTCACATTTTCTTTAATTGTGGTAAAATGCACATAACATAAAATTTACCATCTTAACCACTTTAAAGCATAAACTTCAAGAGCGTTTAGTAAATCCGCAGCGTGGCACAGCCGTCCCCGCTGTCGGGTTCCAGGACGTTTGGCCCGGAGTCCTCTGCACACGTTCGCACTGCGCAGCTTTGCTGTCCGTGCTGGGCGCAGCCTCAGAGCCTTGTGGAATGAGGCAAGATTTCCACTAAGAAAATACCTGACTTGAGAGGTTGAAGTTTGGGCTCTTTCCAACCTGTAACACTCCTGAGAATTCGTGCTTGATAAGGATGACCGAGGGTTTCTGGGGAGCATCGGTCCAGTGGCCCAGCTCTCTCTGAGTTTTGGCAGCCGAGAACCTCTTTCCACGACACCACCGACTTGCAGCTCCCGGGCTCTGGGGCCCCTCACTGGCGGCTGTGGAGTCTCGGTTTCCCTGGGTTACACACAAAAGTTTGGCCCCCTTGGCTCTGTGTATGGACTCTGTGTAATACACGCTGACCCAGGCCAGAGGCAGCAGCCAGACCAGCATCCAGGAGACTCAGAGCGCCGCGCCGCCCCCCGCCTGCCCACCGCCCTGGCTGCGCCATCGGACACCCTGGAGGCCGGACAGCAGCGGCCCTTCTCCCTGTGCCCGACACCCAGGCCTCTGTCCTTCTGGCTTTGCTCCCCATCTAGGCATCTTTGCCGAACACTGAGTGGAGACATCTAAGTCACCCTGGGTGCGTGTCGAGGCCAGGATTCCAGCACGGCCACTGTCCTCATGTGTGGCTCAAGGTTGCCAGCTGGTCTTGGGCTGTGGGTCTCTGCAGCTTGGCGGTGAGAGGTGGCGGGCGAGAGGCTCCGGCTCTGCCTTCTCCTACAGCACGTCGGAACCCAGGCTGGCTCCCTGGAGGAGGAGGCTCCCTGGGAGAGGCGTGGGACCAGGAGGGGCCTTGGAGATGGAGATGGCTCCTGACCCTCTCACCAATAGCAGCGACTTGGTCACGTCACAGCTGCACACTGTCCAGCAGGAGCGCCCAGGAGGCAGAGGAGGAACCCCCAGCCCTCTCTCCCAGTCCCAGACCACGTCCAACCTCTCTCTCCCGAAGGCCCAGTGCGCCGGGGCATCAGCGAAGGCAGTGAGGCCACTCCGCAAGCAGCCGCACCAAGCGGGGCTGGAGGCCCTGAGGGCACGGGGCTGCGGGCCCGGGTGCTCCGGCAGAGCTGGGACAGGGCAGCCGCCCACCCCTCGACAGCACCTGGGGGCTTGGGACGGTGTGAGCCGGCCCCTCTCGTTCCCGGCATAGCAGGGGACCTGGCAAGGGTCTGTGGAGGGAATCTGCCAGTTTAAAAAGGCCCCGTAATGAAAAATATATTGCCTATCACATCAGTGAGCAAAGGGCACTGCAGCCACCAGCCACCAGCCACGAACGCAGCCCCGAAGGTAAGCGGAGGGGACTCAGGATGGAGACAAGGCCCCCAGCCTCTGCAGCCGCCCCCAACGGCACACCCAGAGGGGACCCGGGATGGAGACAAGGCCCCCAGCCTCCACAGCCGCCCCAACGTTGCGCCCAGAGGGGACCTGGGATGGAAAAGGCAGGCCGCTGGCCTGGACAGCGCAGGTGCAGGTCAGAGGAGTGAGTTCCAGACTCTTGCACCTTCCCATATGTAGACAAGCGCTAAGCTCCTTAACTGGAGATAGCTGGTTTTCTTTAATTAACAGTCATCTGCTCATGTTCTGACTCCCTGGTCTTTGTTGCAAAAACGCCTATGTGTCCTGGCTCCTCCCCGGCCTCTTCAGAGCGGCCCCTCGCGGCCATCTGAGAGGCCCTGCCCAGACTTGAGTCCTCAGACAGTCCAGCAAATAAACCTACCTCCCCTCGGAGGCTGTGCACTGTTTCCTGACGTGACACGGGTGGGGCAAGAGGCGCTCTGACCGAAACCACTCCCCTTGCCCCCAGTGCAGCCTCTGCAGCTGAGACACGGGGGCCAGGGGAACGAGTACAATGACACCCGGGGACGCCCAGACCCGGACGCCCACGAGGCCCTTGGCTGCGGCCACACTGAGCTACGCTGTTCTCTGCAGGAAGCCCTGCGGAGGGGCACGCGGGTCCCGGGAGTGGCCACGGACACTGGGCAGGAACGTCAGTAAAGGTGCTGCAGGTCAGGGGCTTGGGGCGGGTGGGAGGGAGGGAGGGTCTTCCCAGGGAAGGCCCTGCGCAGGCCCGGGGGCCCGGGAGGTGGGATACCTCCTGCCCCAGTGTCACATCCCCCGCAAGCCGGGCCACGGGACATCCCACGGACACCTCCCAGACCTGTTGCTCATCAGGGGACACCGTCACCCTCGGGGGCTCCGCCTTCCCGCCCTATCCTCCCCCAGCTCTTCAAATGTGGTCCCTAGGACATCTGTCGTCTCACCCGACCCTCTTAACAAGCCTCCAGGAACCTGTCACCCACCCCCTGCCCCCGGGCCTTGTAAGGAGAGGCGACTGCAGCTCAGAGAATGCTTGTTCCCAAGGCCACACAGAGCGGAGGAGGCACGTGTGAGGGCCCTCGTCCAGGGCTCCTTATCCTGAGCAGTAACAGCAGGTGGGCAGAGCCAGGCGCGTGGCTTTGGTGTCAGCTGGACGTGAGTTTCCGTCTCTGCTCTACACTGAGCCTCAGTTTCCTCATCTGTAAAACGGGCGCAGGGACACTGGGAGGCCCTGGTGTGATGACCCGCTTTCCTGGGCTGACCCTGAGCCTGGCACGGGGTGGGCGGGTCACCAACTGTGAGCTCACAGCCCTGGAGTCGGGGCCCAAGTGGGAGATCCCAGGCCACTGGGTACCTCAGGCCTCCCGCCTGCCTGCAAGAAAGTGTGGCCCCACCTAAGCCCCTTGGCAGTCCCGCTGGCCCCACCCTGCCCTGCAGTCACGGCAGCAGGAGGGGACAAACCCCACACGGCTGGTCCTGGGCCTCAGCTCAGGGAGCCCAGCCGGCCTGTCCAGCCGACGGCCCATCAGCGGCGTGAGCAACAGCAGGGCAGCTGGGGAAGCAGCCACCTCCCCTCTTCCCGGCCCCACTCCCAGCCCAGGGGCAGCGTCCTAGCCCCTCAGCCCACCAGGACGGTGCCCCTCTACACTCACTCCCCTGGCCCCGGCCTGCCCGCACCCTGCCCGTCAGCTCTGGCCAGGGTTCAGTGGTCCAGGCCTCGGTCCCCACCAGGGCCTGGG